ACGTCCTTCGACACGATCGTATTCCGAATCACGGTCGAAATGTCTCCCGTTTCGTCTCGATCCGTCCTATCGTTCGAGTTTTACGATAAAAACCGTAAAACTCCGTTTTCCCGAAAAGAACTTGAAGAAATCGTATAAAACGGTAACGGTTAATCAAAACACCGAACGTCGCCTAAACTATACGATTTATCTGAGATTCTTCGTTAAGATTATAAAAAACGCGTTTTCAATAAAAACGCGTTGATAGAATCGTAAAAAAACGGCATCGGATCAGGAAACGGTCTCAATAAAGTCATAAAACGGTTTTTATCGTAAAACGGCCCGAAAGGTCCTAAAACACGATAAAAACCCATCTCGCGACATTAACGAAATCAAACCCGAAGATACGATAACGCTTTGACGGTCTACTCGCAGACGGAAGATAAAAGGCAAGTTTGAAGATAAATAGAAGATTTCCGCAGAAGAAAAGGAAGGATCGACAGATATGGAAAGTTCCGAAATATTCGGTTTCGAGCAAAATGGAAAGACTAAAACCGCCTAGGGAGGAGTATATAAGGAGGAGGCATAGGGCAGAAGCTGAGGAACGAGTTTTCAGAGCTTTCACCACCAAACTTAGCATTTAGGCAATTTTCCGTTTTCGTTATCGAGCTGCGTCTCAACTAGGGTATTAGTCTTAGATTGCTAGAACTAGGAATTTTGCCGACGGCTCACGCAGCTAAGGCAACTCTCGTTGTAACCGTTCTTACGCGAATTCGGAATAAGAATCCTTCTTGCTTTCAATCTCGTTTTTATTTTTATATCTTTCAATTTATTCATATTAGTCGCGTTCTTGGTTACTTGTTATTGGCTTTCGCAGAGATCCGGTTCTTCTGGAAAATTAGGGTTTTTATTTTACGGAAATCGACAGGTGTGAATTTCGGTTCCCACAAATTTCCTAATAAATGTTCAGATTCGAAAATTTCTATAAATACCACCATTTGTAATTCATTTCAAACACACCAAAAAAAATCAGCTTTAAGCTTGATCAAAGAAAAAGAAATGTCCGGTACTGAAAATATTTTCGAGTTGCGGAAGTGGATGTATCCACATAGAGATAATAACAGGAGAGTGACAAAAGAATTTTTCGAAGGGTTAGAGACGTTTATGCATCAAGCAGATTCTACACCACTCATGCAGGAAAGTGGTAAGATGTTCTGTCTTTGTCGGAAATGCTGCAATACAAAATTAGGACCTCGTGAAAATGTTTGGAAGCATTTAATAAATAGAGGTTTCATGCCATATTCCCAAGCAGATCAAGTTTTCTTCATTCCATACCCTCGGATTACTACCTCGGAATAAACTGGTTAGCTGTTATCAAAGTTACACCTCGAGGACGAATAATCGTTGGAGAAGAACCACCATTACAAGAAGAAAACACCAATGAAATCGAGGAACTTGAAGCAGAAATTGATGACATCTTACTCACTAATCCGCATAATCGTGAATACGAAGATGTTCCTGATCACTCAACGGACGAAGGTGTCGAGGACGAGTTTTACGAAAATGATGATGAATCAACCGATTCCGAGAATGTATCCGAATGAATTATGTATGTTTTATAAGTTTGTTTAATCAAAAAAAATGAATTTGAATTATGTATGTTTAAAGTTTGTTTAATCACAAAAACGAATTTGAATTTGAATTTGAATTTGAATTTGGGGGTTTAGGTGTAGAAGAGGTTTGAAGTTTGGTTGTAGAAGAGGTTTGAAGTTTGGTTGTAGAAGAGGTTATAAGTTAAGGAAGTTGTGGTTTGGTGTTTGGGGTTTCGAGTTTAGTTATTTAAAAACCCTTTTCTCGTAAAACCCTAGTAACAGAAAACGCGGGACTCGCGATTTCCTCGTAAAGTCCACGTAGGCAGTTTCCTCGTAAAGTCCACGTAAGCTTGCTACTAGGACTTTACGAGGAAACCTAAATGCGGGACTCGCTGTTTCCTCGTATAGTCCTTGAAATGGAAAACACGGGACTCGCTATTTCCTCGTAAAATTACGAGGACCTTACGAGGAAACTAAATACCCTAAATAAACTCGAGCCATCCGATTTCTCTCATTTGTAGCAATCTTCTCTCAAAATCCTCTTAAGGTATTCTCTAATTCCTAGTTAAGTGATTAGATTAGGGAATTTAGATTAGGTGGTTAGTTTAGAGAATTTAGATTAGGTGGTTAGTTTAGAGAATTTTGATTAGGTGGTTAAATGTTTTTTTTAAATGATACTAGTATATTTATGTTTTATTTTTATTTTTAAAATTTAGATACCTAGACAGAGCAAGCTTAAGGCTAAGAAGACGAGGCCGCCTCCTGACGGGAGTCATTACGGAGATTTATTTGTTCGTCAGCCTGGTCCTCATATAGGCGCATCATCTTCTTCGGCTCCCGGTTCTTCGATTCTGGAAGACGCTGTTCCAGAGTCTCAGTTTTCTCAGAGAGTTTCTCTGGTTCTCCGGTTTGATCCACCACCTCCTCCTCCTCCTCCACTGGCCGCCGAAGTTCATCCCGATTTGGAGGTGCCGCCAAACGCTCCATTTGCGGTGTACACTGTCGAGGATATTATGGCAGCGACATGCAGAGAAGGGTTACCTGAGTTAGATCCTCTCCGACGGGACGGCCACAACATATTTTGGTATGTTTCATTTTTTAAAAATGTTTTTTAATTTATTTCTTAATTAACCAAAAATTAAAAAAATTAATTAATATTTTTATTTTGTTTTTTTTTGTTCAGGTTTAATGTTGACGGGTGTGTCGCTCAGAGCGTCACCAATTGTATCAAAGGATAATTTCCCGATCCAGCTCCAAACTGGAAAAAGACGGCCAGCCACACCAAAAAGACGTGGTTCAAATCGTTCGCCATAAGTCATTGATAAACTTAATTTATTTTTTAATTATTTAAATTTTTTAATATTATTGGACTAATTAATCTAATATTTTATGGTTACAGCAGAAATATCGTTGGTCCATAGGATTCACCAGCGGGTGAAGAATGAGTTTGAGGCGAAGGCAAAAGCACGATTGCTCGACATGGTCTACAACTGGAATGACAATTTTCAGGTGGAAATATAAATTTTATACAGTTTATATCATTGACTTCAAATAATTTAAAAATATTTTTTTTTCAGGTGGATGGTTACGAGGAGGGGAAACCCGATTGCCTCACATTTGCGGTGTGGGATGGCCTCATCAAATATTGGGGGTTGCCGGACTCGATCAGAACCTCCAACAAAAACTCCGTGAGCCGAATGACAAGAGACGAGCATGGTCACACGAAGATGCTTCACACCGGAGGTTGAAAACCTCACGCGGAAATCCATCTAGACATGGTAAATTAATATTTTAATAACTAATTAGTATTTTTCAATCTATTTGTATATTCCTAATTAATAATTAATATTAAAAATTACTTTTAGGTTAAAGAGACATGAGTTCTTCCATCTCTGGAATACTTTTACGAGAGGACCCACCGGAACAAGGCTGTGCATTTTGTAGATCCTAGATCCGAGCGGATCTACAACGAGGTTGTTGCTCGGATTGACCACCGGTAGACCCGCTGACTTAGCAGTCTGGGACACCCGTCATATTACCCACTCCTGAAGTGGATAAGATTTACGAGGAAGTAAATAATTTTTTTTCTTATTACTTTTTTATTATTTTTTAATTTATTTTTTTAAACGTTATTAATCTTTTTATTTAAAGATCGCCCCTAGGAAAAAGGAACGTATCGTCAGGATTGGTTTTGTTAACGATGTCCCCACATCGACATCGTCGTAACAGCACGATGTCACTACTCAGCTGCGCTCGGTGTTGCATGCGACACAAGCTTACGTGAGTTCTCTCTCTGATATCCTGGACGTTTTGGCGGTTGGAAACCCGCAACTGGCAGAGATGTTGCGTGTCAGACGGGAAAACTGAGGGCTTCCAACCCAACAACATCCACCGTCACAGTCACAACCGACGACCAAAATGGACGAGGAGGAGTTGGCAAGCCGGGATGATGACTTCGTTCGTCAATTTAACGTGCACCATCCGTAGTTTAGTTTTTTTCTTTTTAATTGTATATATTATGAATTTAAAACTTAAATATTTAGTTATTTATAAATTATTTTGTTGTTTCTTTTCATTTATTTATAATTTGGATTTTAATTCTTTAAAAATATATTATTTATATTTATTATTTTTTTGATAGAAAAAACAATTCGAAGTAAATTCCTAGTAAACCTTTATGACTCTCTTACGAGGAAATGTTTTACCACGACTTTACGAGGACTTATTTTCGAGGCCTTTACGAGGAAACCTGTATGAGGACTTTACGAGGAAACCTGTATGAGGACTTTACGAGGAAATGAGTATCCACGCTTTTACGAAGAAACGTTTCCTCGTAATTTTACTAGGAAATTACGAGGAAAAAGGCTTTACGATGAACGTGTTACGACAAGACGCGTTTCCTCATAATTTCCTAGTAAAGACCCCTCTACTAGAAAAAGTCATCCTAGCAAAACTTCTGTTTTCTTCTAGTGTCATTTTTAGATTAAGTTTAGGTATTTCAACATGTAGTATTCAAATTTTATATGATTATTTTATTTAATATTTAAATTTTAAGAAATATAAAGTGTATATAAAATTTAAAATTCTAAATAATTCAAATGGGTTATTCAAATCCAAACCCACAAAGATCCAAAGTGATCCAAACCGAAATTTATAAATATCCAAATGAAGCAGAAATCTTTAACTCGAAAAGTAACTAATCAAATTCGAATGGGTACCAAAACGCTCTATCCTAGTCTACACACTAACCATAAGGCTTATAAATTGCTATCTCTCTTTTCTACATCAGCCACATTGATCTCTCTGCTAATTCTGTTTCCAAACCGCTTTGATTTACATTCTCCTTAGCCGCAAACTCTTCCATCCTCATGCAGAGTGACTATGAAAACAGAGGATTTTGAAGCGCATTTATATATTACTAACTAACCCTGAGTCTTACTAATTGCTAAACTCTCTTTTATTAATGTCAATAAAATCACAAAAGCTAAAACCTTTCTGAAATTGCATTAGCAAAATCCAAACAAGAAAATATTCTAGTTTTGTTTCTGATATACACAACTATTGCAGAAGATTTTGACAAAAAGGAGATGGTCATGTTTCTGAATCACAAGCATGGCCGCTTCGTTCTTCTCTCTGCTAACTTGTTCACAGCACTTCGCTTGTTAGGAACCTCATTGTTTTGTTGCGTCCCTCTACCATCTCCAGTCTTTGTTGTCTCTTCTTTCTTCTTATTCTCTAACGCATCCTTCACAAGAAACTTTAGCCTCCACAGTGTTGGTTCGTCCTGCATACAAGATAACTTAGCTTCAAGACATGAAAAAGACAGTGGAAGTAAAGAGACTTTACCAGTACGTCCATCTCAATCGTCACTTCTTCTGATTTGGTTTGAAATCTAGGATCAGCCTGAGCAACTATACCCAGCACTTTCTGTAGCTCATCCGCAGAAAGTTTCAAGAATGCCAACCCAATATTACGTTTCTCCTCAGTTGTAATTTTCCTGATACAATCACTCATCGGTCTCAGCATATATAATGACCAGAGGAGACCCAAAAGGTGTTAAGAATGTATTAAGAGTGATTAGGCCAACCTGCATCTTCCCACAACTGCATGCCTTAGCTTCTCCAACTCTTCATTAACATTGCAAATCTGGACAGACAGCTAAAAGGTTAATAATACAAAAGGAAAAGGGTCGCTTATATGGGGAAAGAAATGAACCTCATTGCTCAATTCTCTAGTTGTTTTGGTATGAGATGCTTCTTTTGCTAGCAGCGCCTCCATTGCTGCTTGCTTCTCCTCTTCCTCCCGTATTTTCTCCTGCAATCAAGAACATGTTGCTAAGATCCATCAAGAAGAGTGAACAAAAGAAAATAAACATAGTATCTATCTATCAATCGTTACCTCTTCTTCAACTTTTGGAAGAAAGTGTGCCCATTTCTCCTCAAACTTTTGCAGTAACGTTTTGGCCATAGAGTAAACATCACTAGCTTCTTCATTATACTTCATCGCGTTCTCAAACACTAGCCGCATATCAGCGTATATTTGCATAACATGTTTGTACCCGGTACCATCTTTAGCTTCCATCTGATTCTTTATCGTGCTCAAGTCCATGGGCTCGTCAATAACCTATGACCAGATAAAACACGTCATATAAAGAGTCCTTCCTGCTTATATTTACAAGCGAAACTGTATCTTATTATATGTTGAAAGCGGAGAAGGAGAAAACGTTACCTCATAGTAGTCATCAAGACCAAGACTTTCTACATCAACAGGATGCATAAAAGGCCATGCGCACTTGTGTTGCGTTATCTGACGGAAGATAGTTCCAAACTGACGCATGAGGTCATGCATTCTCTTTGCAGCAACGGCTTCCCTACGAGCAGCCTCTTGTTGAACCTTCCTGATTCCCACAACATGTCTAGAGGCAGGCGAGGATGAGGAGTTTGAGACAGCAACGCTCGAGTAAAACTCCTCTACTTGTACCAGTTTATGCTCAAGCTGCAAGTAGAGAACCAATAAGGTCTTCACTGAATCAAGATTTTTAACACATCAAATAAAATCCAAAGAACAGTTTATGATGAATTGTCGAATTTGAATCAAACTTTAACACAAAGAAACATTGAATTGGGTATGAAGAAATAAGGAATCAAAGGTTATAAAGAAGGAAACTTTATTTACCGAATCAACCCACTGTACAACCTCGTCGACTCGCTGCTTGATGCTTTCGGCATCGACGGGGAGAGTCTGGGATTCTCCGGCGAGGATTTGACCTGATTCTGGCACTGATTCCGCCATTATTCGCGCAGATTCTCGGAACGGTAAAGGTAATCTCTAAATAAAAAAAAAAAGAACTTTTTAGTCGGCAAAAAAAAGGAAAACAGAGTTCAAGTAATAAGACAAAGGGGCATTCCGAGAATTGAACTCGGGACCTCTCGCACCCTAAGCGAGAATCATACCACTAGACCAAATGCCCTTGGTTGGTTCATGTAATACGTAAATAGTAATCTTCAGTTTTTTGGTTTTTAAACGCTTACACACATCAATAAGACAAAAGTTTGGTTTCACCTCAAGAACAAAAACAACATATTAAATACCAATGACCGATCAAGATTTTTGATGTGTTCCAAGGAGCGAAACTAATGTAAAAACTCAAAACAAGTTTGGAAAGTTAATTGGTCGTTTTAGAAACATTAAATAGTATAGGGGTTTAAACTATAAACAAAGGGAAATAAAAGGGCCTGTAAGGCTTTTTAAGATTGATTCTAGGGCTCGCTTTTTCTAACACTGGTCGGACCCCGACAACGTTTACATCTCCTTCCTCATCGCAATCCATCAGTGTGAAATTGAAAAAGATCGAGAGAAAAATGAGCGGAGCGGGTAAGAAAGTAGCAGATGTGGCATTCAAAGCGTCCAGGACTATAGATTGGGAAGGGATGGCTAAGGTCCTTGTCACCGACGAGGCTCGAAGAGAGTTCTCTAACCTCCGTCGCGCTTTCGATGAGGTCAACACTCAGCTCCAAACCAAGTTCAGTCAGGTTCTCTTCCCATTCACTCCCTCTCTTGATCTGTACGTTTAGAATCTGATGAGATCTTCCGTGTAGAAGAAAAAGAATCTGAGATCTTCATCATTTCGGATACAAGATTTTGTCATCTGGATCAATTGATTCTCATTCACGGCTTACAGATTGTTGTTCTTATTTTCTGATGAAAATGTTGTTCCCATAGTTGATCAGATCTAACATTGTTCCTGACCTGATTTATTGCACATCTGTGTTTAAAATCTAGTAAAGGAAACCTAGTTCTACATTTTCCCTGGTCATTTGGTTTGCATCATTTTATCCTTATAATACCATTGTTTCACCAAATTGCCATTTTCAAATGAATCTTTCAAGATTGTTTTATGTATTTTTTTCTATATGGTGTAGGAGCCTGAACCAATTGATTGGGATTTCTACAGAAAGGGTATTGGCTCTGGCATTGTTGACATGTACAAGGAAGCTTATGACAGTACGTTCTTCTCCTAAATCTTATTGTTCCACAGAACCTTTGTTCTTGAAATTTATTGCAACTTCTAAAATGTATTGAATCTCTCTTTTTACAGCTGTTGGAGACGAATGCACTAATTTTTAACACTTGTTGAACCTTTTCTTCTTGAAATTTAGTGCAACCTCTAATTGTCACGTCGCATCTATAGATACAGATACTCTTACCGATTCGTTTCAACTAGTTTGTGCGTTTATTTGCTTCTTGAACCTGAAGTTTCCAGTTCCCATAGTTTTTGTTCTTCTTTCCTTTTATTGTTGTAACTATGGAGATATACCAAATGAATTTTTGTTTGCTCTTTCTGGTTTGGTGCAGGCGTTGAGATTCCCAAGTACGTGGACAATGTTACCCCTGAATACAAGCCTAAGTTTGATGCTTTGGTGAGCAATGGCTTTTACAAACTTCATTGTTTTTTTTTTTGACAAGGGTGTTTTTAGCTAAATCCTTTGTGCCATGTTTCATTCTCTATGTAGTTGGTGGAACTGAAAGAAGCAGAACAGAAGTCTCTGAAGGAGTCTGAACGGCTTGAGAAAGAAATTATTGATGTCCAAGAGATAAGCGTAAGCATTCCCCAATGACAAGTTTTATCTTACAAAAAGTTTTATTTTATGTGTATTTTTTTTGTTTAACTCAATATTCTGATGTATGATCATCTGTCTTTACCTGTGTGTGTTGGTGTAATCAGAAAAAGCTCAGCACGATGACTGCAGATGAGTACTTTGAGAAGCACCCAGAACTCAAAAAGAAGTTTGATGACGAAATCCGTAATGACTACTGGGGATACTGATCATCATGTTTCTTGTATTTTCCTCTCCTGCCTGAAAAAGAAGCTACCTTTCTCTACTCTTTCTCTTTTTTTTTTCTTCTTTTTCTGTGATTTTCTTAATAAGTACACTTCCCTGATGAGATCTTCATTGGAGATACAATGAGACAATAATGATCAACCTATCTGATTATAGCAATCAATTTCATAAAATTGTTCTGATGAAACAGCATGCATGAAAGATACTCTGATCGTACGATCAGTAGTACAGTACTTCTTCAAGTATGAAACGACTCAAATGCAACCTCTTGGTGAAAGTATTAGTGAAAGCTATTTTGAGTAGGCGAAAAAAGAACAGTACTTCCAAGTATAAAAACGACTGAATAAATTGAAACAGTTAGATATAAAACGCAGTATGATTAGGTTTCCAAATAAGTGATGCTTTCAATATTATCCCAAAAAATCGTCTGTATGAAACTGCTTTTCCAGTAAAGCGGATCAGCTATTCTCATTCCACTAATGAGTCTTGTTATCTTGCACTTCTCTAAATCATAGAAAACATAGCGTGGATTATCTCGAGCGAGTATTTCCGGTGTCAGCCAAATTTCACTGCTGTGACTTGTGGGTTGTATCAGCAATCTGGTGGGCAGGCCCAGTGTGTTCGTTTCGAAAATAGGCACAACAAAAGACATCTTGTCCGACCATGACCATCCACTCTTGCCCGCATCCTGAACAAACCATAAAACTATGCTACCATTAATCATAATGCTTGAATATTCAAACACAGCTAGTTTGCCTTTGTAGTTCACGAGATTCATGGCGCGGGAGTCCCAAACGATGCCATCCTCAACAGGCAATTCGATCAAAGTGAACTCTTCAACCTTATGTCAAAACTCATGACTACACATCTATTTTTATCAACCCAAGCTCCATAATACAAAACACCGTTGATGGAGATACCAATACCATCCGAGTAAGGACAATGAGGAGGGGAGGGATGGTGCTTAGGATGCTTCTCCATGAGGCTCCACGACCAAGTACCAACACCTGATGCTCGGATCTCGCTACTATCTCTTCCTCGCTCACCTCCCAACTGTGCTAAGCACTTTGTATTCATCATGAATAGGATCATGCCCAAAGAAGCTCCAAATATTCTCATTATTTTCAGGCACAATTGTTGATGTTATGATTGGCAAGGTCACACGTTGCATGGTTGTAAGGTTACATATTCGAACACTTCTTAGAAGTCTGACACATAGCAAACCACGAAGAGCGCTCACAAAGCAGCCTCCTATTCTCGGCATGGTCTGATCTTGGTCGAGGTGATACATCGGGGCTGGGTAAAAAGGTGATATGTGAGGGACAGGGTCATGACACGATGAGATCAACGCATACTTGTATGGCTCGTCAATGTCCACAAAAGACATGAACATACGACTTCGTTGAGCTGATGACTGATATTAAAGGAAAAGATTGGCGAAATAACGGGAGGTGATGAGCGAATACCAGAGCCTTGACACACACTTGAACCTCATCAGCGATTTCACCGGCAATCTCCGCAGTATCTCCATCAACAGTTCGTTTGGAGAGTTCCATGCAGGTTTCACGACTGTTTTGCTTCTTTTTCTGTCTATCTTGGCTGCTAGGCGAAACGAAAAAGTCATTGTCCTTTTGTTTGTAAACTCCAAATCCCATGAGCCTCTTCATCTAAGGAGGTATATACACGTTAGTTTCTAATTTGTGTAGGAATAGGTTTTTACTTTCTTTTTCCTTTCACGAGATGGATAATTTTTCTTTTTAAAAATTGTTTCCAAAAAGACGAAAAATCTCTCTTATTAAAATAGATTAAGAGCATAGCCCCAACACAAGCGCAGGATCGGAGACGTAATTGTTGCTCTATGTATCTTTGTGTAGTCTATGATATTGTAAGAATATATTTTTTTTTTTAATAGGGTTGATGGTGGGGTGATGATCTGTGTTTATTGATTGTGCTCCGAGGTCTGTATGTTTTTTTGTTGTTATAGCAGTGTTCTATCTTTTGTGGTGTCATTAGTTGTGGTTGTAATTTATAACAATTTTCAATACTCAAACTTGGTTTGTTTAATTTTGGAGTAATTCTTGGGTTCATTATTTATATTTAGAAACAAAATATTGTCGAGTTATATTACTTTTAAAAATTTAGAGATAAACATAAATAAAAAATAATAGTAATTAAAAAAAATTAATTATTTTAATACTATTATCAAAACACTAATCTCTAAACCCTAACTCCTAAACTTTAAAACTTTTCTATAAATCCTGAACCCTTGGATAAATCCTCGTTTCTAAAAAATATATATTTTTTAATACATGTCAGCAAAACACTAAATTTTAAATATTATACACTAAATTTTAAATCTTTGGGTAAACCCTAAACCCTTAGACTAATCATAAATCCTAGGGTTTAAGATTAATCAAAGGGTTGAGGATTTATCCAAAAGTTTAGGATTTAGGATTTATGATTTAGTGTTTAATGTTTTGCTGATTATATTATTTTTTTTTAAAGTGTTTTATTTGCAAGTACTATTATTTTTATTTATTTTTATCTTTTAATTTTAAAAATATAATATAACTTGATAATATTTTGTTTTGTTTTGTAAAAAATACTAAATATAAAATAATGAAATCCTATTGGTTAGTGAACCTATATGTTCACCCTAGAGGTAAATCCAAGAATTTCTCTTATTTTTGTGTAATTGGTATTTTGCTTAATAGCGTGATCAATGCTAGGGTTAACTGCCTAAAACCCCCTGTAAATACACAAACCCTATCTATTTCCACCCATACTTATTACCTCTTGGTCAAACCCCCCAAACTTATAACTTCTCTTCATATCACTCCCAATCTTCCTAGTCCTGCCCAGATCCCCTTTTTAATTCAAACTAGATCTTTATCCGCAACGCGCGGATGTTATTTTCAGTTTAATATACATATGTTATATATTTTATGACATTAGTGATATATATTTTTAACGTTGAACATATATTTAAATGTTTATATAAATGTATTATTAATTTTAAGATGTTCTTATGTATTGAGAGAATGAAAATGGAAATTAAATTTGGTTGTTAAGATTTTATTATATAAATACAAAAGATAAGGTAACAACTTTTCTAAGGAAGGGTCCATTTTTAAAAAATCATACATGAAGAGCAGTTGTGACTTCTCTTTTAATATAATAGAGATTCAAAATAGCAACTAAAATATGTAAATCGCGTATAGTTAACAGTGATTGCCCAATTAAAAAATCTGACACAGCCCAACTCGATTCACTTAATGACATCCGATTGATTCTTTTTTTAAACCTAAAAAAAAAACTCTTAAACGGAAGGTCGTAGATTATTATGTTTGGCCACTATATTAAAGAAGCTGCTAAAGAAGCTTGGGATACTCTAATCAATCACTTTGAAGGAAACACCAGTGTTAGAAGAACCAGAATCGATCACTTTGCCTCAAGATTTGAGAACCTGCGAATGGAGGATGATGAGTCAATTGGAAGTTTCATCTCCAAGATCAGCTCAATAGCAAATGAAGCTTCAGTTCTCGACAAAAAGTATAATGAGAAGAAGCTTGTTAAGAAATTTTTGCGATGTCTTCCTCCTATCTTTGAAGCATACAAGGCGGTTCTTAAGATAGCAGTGAATACGGATGAGATGAAGTTTGATCAGTTGGCTGGAATTCTGAAGGTACATGATCTGGAACGAAGTGAAGAAACCACCAAGGGACAGAAAGGAGTTGCATTCACAGCAGAATCCAAAGAAGAGGACAGAGTAAAGCGTATTGAAGAGAATATGAGTCTCATGGCTAAGAATTTCAACAAGATGATCAAAAGAGTAGAAAAGGGAAGCTATCGCAAAAACAACCGGTTTCAAGGGAGAGAAGGAGATCGCTTATCTGGACAACAAAACAGAAATGAAGGTGGAAGAAGTAATCGTAAAAAGGATCTGAAGTGTCATGAGTGTGAAGGGTATGGGCACTTTCGAAGTGAATGTCCTCTAGCCAAGAGAAAGGAACTTAAATGCATCGAGTGTAAATGATATGGACATACCAGGAGTGAGTGCCCTAACAATCTGAAGAAAGACAAAGCATTGTTGTCATTCAGTGATACCGAGTCGGAAAGTGAGAGTGATGATGAAGAACTCATGCTGAATTTTGTGGCTCACGTGGAACATGAAAATACTCAAGACATCTTTTCAAGCTCAGACTCAGATTTAGATCATGAAGACAAGAAGAAGGAGTTGAATCTAAAGACAGAGTTTAAGAATTTTTTTGACAAGTTTACAGAGTTAAGTCTTGAAAATTTACAGTTGATCAAAGACAAAGCAATGCTCAAGGAACAAGTCAACATTCTTGAACTCGACACTCCTAGTATTGAAGGAAAGAATACAGCTGGTATCTCGGAAGGTGAGAGGAATTCTGATATAAAATTGCTTGAAAGAACCGTCACTGATCAGGCTCGTTCCTTGAAAAATTTGGAGACCAAGTATGATCAAGCCATGTTGCTTCTGAATGAGGAGCTTGAGAAGAGCCGATTATTGTAGAGAGAATTGAGCGAGAACTACAAGAAGATGAGGATGCTCAACAATGGATCAGATACTTTGGACCATATTCTTTCACTTGGACAAAACCCAAAGATTGCCTCTGGTCTAGGCTATCAAGGATTTCAAAGGTCAAGTAGCAAAGATGTAAGGTTTTTTAGGAGTGGAGCACCAGAAACACGTACTGAGATAGAGAAAGGAGTGGTACCCCAGAAAGATGTTGAGACGACTGTGAAGAAACCGGTACCACACAGGCGCAATGGATGTCACTTCTGTGGCAAACAAGGACATAGAGTTGCCTACTGCTACTTTCGAAGAGCTCAGTACCAACGAGCATGGGCTCTCCACAAGTGCTACATCGAACCAAGCCGGATTGGGTATGTGTGGATTGCCAAAGAAGATCTTTATCCTAACTTCAGAAACAGAACACCAACACCTCCTACAAAAACAACTGAGACAGAAACTTACACTCAGAGATCAGGAAAGGAAGTGATGTGCAATCTGGTCAGAATTGAAGAGTATGTTGAAGAGGATGTCATTGAAGTGTCAAGCTCTGCCAAGGTTGCTTTCACCTCTACTGAAGAACACTCTGTCGTTGAGATACCTTTGTACTTTGATAGTGGTTGCTCAAGACACATGATAGGTAATGAAAAGTTTCTAAAAGTTATGGAACCTGTCAAGGAAGGAAGAGTGATATTTGGTGATGGTGGAGAAGGAAGAATCCGTGGTGTAGGATACATGGAAAGAGCTGATCTTCCAAGACTGAGAAATGTTTACTTTGTGGAGGGACTTAAATCAAATCTCATAAGCATCAGCCAGCTGTGTGATGAGGGGTTACAAGTCATCTTCAACAATTGAGAGTGTCAAGCAGTTGATCCTCAAGGGAACCTGGTCATGTGTGGATTTCGATCAAACAACAACTGTTATTTCTGGAAACCACCAAGTAGGTGCTTGTCAGTAAGGGACTCGCAGCTAGACTTATGGCACAGGAAGCTTGGACATATGAACACTAATGGACTCTCAAGACTGGTGAGAGCTGATGTAGTTTGAGGAATACCTAATCTTGAAGATCGCTCTGACACAATGTGTGGTGCTTGCTGTCAAGGTAAACAAGTCAAAGTTCAACACAAACACGTATCGCAAATTCATTCTAAGTCTATTTTAGAACTTATTCACATGGATCTCATGGGACCTATTACACCTGAAAGTATTGCTGGAAAGCGATATATTTTTGTTTTAGTTGATGATTTTTCCAGGTTTACATGGGTGAGATTCTTGAGGAATAAGTCGGATGCAATCGAGAGCTTCAGGATTCTAGCACTCCAACTCAAACAAGAGAGAGGTGGAATCGTCAAAATCAGAAGTGACCATGGAGGGGAATTTCAGAACGATCAGTTTGACACATTCTGTGAAGATCAAGGCATTCAACACCAATATGCAGCACCTCGAACACCTCAGCAAAATGGAGTAGTGGAGCGCAAGAATCGAACACTCCAGGAGATGGCTCGAGCCATGCTAGCAGGAAACCGAGTACTTCCGGATATTGGGCCGAGGCTATCAACACAACATGCTACATCATCAATAGAGTGTATGTAAAGCCTAAGACTAAGACAGCACCTTACGAGATACTCAGGGGGAAAACGCCAAATCTCAGCTACTGTCATGTCTTTGGTTGTCTTTGCTACATTCTGAACGACAAAGATCACCTAGGAAAGTTCGACTCTAAGAGTGATGTGGGAATGTTTCTTGGCTACTCAACAAACAGTTCAGCATATCGAGTTTACAACTCAAAGACCAAGACTATTGAAGAGAAGGTGAATGTTGTGTTTGATGACAGAGTTGGTTTTTATCAAGACGGTGTAACACAAAGAAGTGTGTGTGTTCCACAACTCGGCAACGAAGAAGAGAACAGAAATGTCGGTGCATCAGACGAAATTGATCTACAAGAAGGCACTTCTCAAGAATCGGTCAAAGTACACAAAAATCACTCTTCGGATGATGTCATAGGAGGCCTGCTAGATCCTAGAATCATGAGGAAAAAGCAAATTGATTTCAAGGAAATGGTCAAGCTTGCTTGTCTCATGGCTGAGATGGCTAAGGAAGATTGCTTCATTTCAC